ACAGTAATTAGTGTAGCCTTACTAGTCAAACAATTAAGCTGTCCACATGTCAATACATACTGTCACAATTTTGTTCAGTTTAGTTTGTCTAAGTTTCACTTTCATGGACTTTTAGTTTGTGTATCATCTGTTTCCTTGTTCCTATTTTCCCACCAGTCATTAGTTTCAATGGACACTATCAGTCATCACAGCTGGTCACTATTAAGTTCTTCATCACTGTGTATTAAAGTACCTCATTGTTCACTGTTCAATGCCCGGCATATTGTGTTACGCGCTGTGCTGTTTGCTTTATCCTTTTAGTTTGTTATATTTGAATAAAATCCTTTGTTCTGGACCATTTGAATCTATTATGTATGTATTTATTATTCACATGTGTCATCTCATGCTGAAGTGTTCATTGTAAGCTACAGAGCTGTTTTGTTAGGTATGTACTTGTAGTATTCTTACATTCTGCTAAGAACCAATCAGATGCCATAGACATAATATCCTGTGTTCTTATTGGCCATGTCACATGTCAGTCATATGATATAGTTCAGAGTTCAGTATGCATCTTGTGAGAGAAGAGTGAGCTCTTTGCCTGTGTGATTTTGAGCTAATAAATCCTCATCATAAAACGAATTCAGCGTGCACCAGCGTGGAGTCTCCTCAAGTACTCCTTCGTAATATGAACAAAAGCTTTACATTACTGTTTGTACTAGGCTATTTCGGCTCATTCCGCTAGGTATTTGCTCAAGTTTAGTTTACACTTACACTTGTGCACAATTATTTTAATTATAGACACTCAAATGGACAGAAATCAGATGTTTGCCTTGCTCATTTGTTCCTATTTGTTCTCATGATGTCAGTCCTGTGGCATGATGTCAGCTTAGCATACTGTACTTCTCTGTAGAGATGTTATTTTTGAGGCATGAGCACTGAGATACAAACTTAACTGATTTTGTAACATGATTATCTTTGAATGTAGATTAACTACTTTCAATTTTGAGAAGTATATTTTTAACATAAGAGCGGTGCGTTATTTTTGTAACTTGAATTGTAAGTCTCACCCATTCACAAATAGCAGAAAATATCTAACATCTGCATTGCAAAATAAGGTGGAAAGTTTGACAATGACATTTCAGTCTTAATCTCATGTCAGCTCACAGGAACGATCGCAGTTATGCCTTCTGCTTTTATAAGATTGTTTTGGTCTTGTGCAGAGCTCTAGAGGCCGCTTTATTGTCAGCATTAAACTCTGTCTCTCCTTTAAAGTGATCATTGGCGTTTTTGTGGGGTTTCTCTCAAGTCTCATTGCAGTTATTGTAGAGAACTCTGTGCAAATATGTTTTCAAAGCAGTGTAGGTGGTTGGATTTCCACTTCCTGGTAATTGAACCAAATATAACATCTGGATATTGTTTTGTATTCTTTTACCATTTCAGCATTTGTTTAATGCTGGGGATTTCATTTTCTCCATTTGTTCTCTTTACTGTGGGAATTTCATCCTGAAAATATTTTAATGATTCAATGTAGCATTTTTTTAATATTACTTTAAAGAGCCCCTATCATAGCATTTGAAATGTTCCTATTTTTGTTTTGGGAGTTCCCAAAAACAGTTTGACGTGCATGCAAGGATAAAAAACACTTTATTTGTCTTATAATATGCATTTATTTTTAACTGATTTGCTCAACGACTACCCAAATGATTCGTTCGACGATTCATTTTCCCAAACAACTCCTTTGAGTGACACAAATCTGCGGTGATTGGTCACATGACCCAGTTGTTATTGGTAAACCGTAGGCAGAGATTGTCGGCAACGAAACGGCCATAACCAGGATTATAGCTTGTCAAGTGTTGAAAATTGTTTATAGTGTTTGAACAAACGTGTCAGAAAAAGTGCACTTTCCACACGGTCCCTTACTCGCGTCTCCGTTACGAGCGTGCTTTCCAGCCGAAACTCGCATTGCGGCGGCTTTTGAGGGGCAGTGCTTATTATATAGAGCGAAGTCATATTTGGCTAAGTCGTTTAGGAGGTAATTGCTATTTTTCAATGAATGTCTGGTGAATATCAAAAACAAAACTAACTTTATCCCGCTTAGAAGCTGCGCGGAGTGTACAAAACACACACAACACAATATAACTATATTGTACATTCTACAGAAAACATAACAGCAAACATACTTACAGGTTGTGATTCGGAGGAGGACAAACCCGATCCATATACACTGGATACTGAGCCCTCCTTCGGGAACAACCGGCTTGCGAATCCACATTTGAATTCATTTATGTTTTTGAATGATTCGTCATTAAAATGATGAGAACACAAGGTTCGGGCGTTGCAAATATGAACTTTAACCACCGATTCTTCACATGCTCGTCCCTGGTCAATGAAAACAAGTGGCTGAACTATCTTTGCATTGTAGAAAACAGCGTCTTCTCGACATGATGCGATTCAGCTGAAGTATTTGAATCATATTCAAGTTTACACTTCCGTCTGCGCGCACAGTTGTTGGGCACGGCCAGTTTGTCTCTACGTCACGACGAACCAGCTAATGACTCGTTTCAAAAACAATTCGTTTCATAGACTCAGAGTCGACTCTCACTTTTGAAAGACAATAGCTTTATATACGGTGCACTTTCAGATATAAATCTTTTCAGGATGTTTTCATTCCCTTAGAGCTATACGCCTTATTCACGGCAGCGCCATCTTTGATTTTTAATGAGAATGAAAGCGAGGCTGTGAGGGATAGACTTGCATCTCTTCAATGGGCTGTTACTGTTATTTAATGTGTTTTTGGATTGTTCTGCTCATGAAACACTGGAAAAATATCTTTCCAAGAAATGTCAGTTGACTAAAAACTCCCGACAATGTAAGCTGTGGAAAATTGTAAGTAATCTAGCCGCTTTATTCAGCTTTTTACAGCGGATGCCATTGGAAACGCGGTAAGTCTATCCCTCGCAGCCTCACTTTCATACCTGTCATGGCGCTGCTCTGAATAAGGTCTATAGTCCACACCATATGAAGAGTCATTTTCAAAAATCCATGACAGGTGCTCTTTAATATGGATTTTTCTTTTTGCCTCTCAATTATCAAGCACGATTTGCAGGTGACCCTTCAATTAACTCTGAACCTTTTTCTTACTGTTCCCCATCATGCACATTCAACAGGAATTTCAATGAACAGTCTGATTTTCTGTAAAATGTGCTCATAAAATGGTCATTCATGTGCGTTTGCATGTGTATGTGTTTATGCAGGGCTTTAGTATGATTGTTCACATTTCTAAAGAGTATTGAGGTCAGGTGAACATCTGCAGTGATTGGAACATCACACACACACACACACACACACACACACAGTTTCCTACACTGAAGCACATGCAAATTCATTAGACTGGAGTGTGATCAGACAGAGCCTGAAAAACAACATGTGCAAATTTGGCAAGGCTAGAAAATGTGTAAAATCTGCACATGTACAGTTCAAGCGGACTCTTCTAATGCTGAGTGCTGTGCACAAAACATCTCAAACATATTGCACATAAAGAAGTACGACCAGCGTGCGCATATCAGCCTGCTGTTTCGAAACAACCGCTTAATTTAATTGAATCAATTTCCTCAGTTCAGAAGGGTTTTGCCGTAGTGCTGTAATGTGTTAGTGCACGTTTGTCATTGTGGCGACAGGTTGTCAGGGAGTGAGTGATGGCGAGATGGCAGTCGTGGCCCGATGCTGTACGTGTGATTGCCGTCAGTAATTACACAGCCTCTCGTCTGATTTATTAACTCTAAATGTCCTCTACAGCCCCTCTAATGAATACTCAAACCCTGTCACACTCATTTGTCTTCTATCTTGCCGCCACCTTTCACTCTCTCTCTCTCTCTCTCTCTGTCACCGTACCGTGTCACACAGAGGAAAAATGCAGGAATTAAAGATAGTTCACACTCATATGAACATCTGTCATTATTTATCACCTTCATGCTGTTTGAAATAGAGTATGACTTTCTTCCTTAATATTCGTTTTTAGGTGAACAATATATGCCACATTTTCCATATAATGAAAATGACTGAGACTGAGAACCGAGTTCCCTTATACACAACCATCGCTCCTGTTTTTTATATCATTTTGCCTCCCATCTATTAATTTGCACGTCGCTTTTCATTCTGACCGGCCTGCACCCGGTGTCATCTGTTGACTGCTTTAATTGCGAGTCTGTAGGTGTTTGTGTAATTTCCTGCGGTTGGGCGGCAGTGCTCGCGCTGGCCTCAGATCAGCATCTAATAAGGGCTGATGGGAGCATTCTGCCCACACACTACTGCAAGCCATTCAACTCCACTGTATTTCACTGTTCTGCCAGAGTTAACCTGCCACTGCTTCTGTACACACACACACACACACACACCACGAGCGGGAGAAGAAGAACAGAGGCGACGGGTGAGTGAATAGAGATAGGGGGACCGTTTCATTCCTGATTAGCATTTAAAAATAAAATTATAATTCAACCATATTTCTTAACTGGACTGTAATCTATAATGCTTTGTGTAGACAATCATAATATGATAGTTTGTTCTGGTGTTGTGAATCTCACATTCATAGCAATTGCATGGAAAAGAGTGTCTGGTACGATTCTTAAAACAATTCTCTGTTGTTCTGCAGAAGGAGGAACAGTGTGGGAATAAAATTCTGAAATTATGACAGAATTTTCAACTATGGCTTTGAGAAATTTTTATAAATGCCTACATATTTTAGATATTCAACTTTAAATAGCATTTTTCAGACTAAAAAGTGTTCACACCAAAAAATTCAATGAGAATCCACATTACAACTATAACGATGGAGCAATACCATTGGAATCACTTTTAGAATGTTTTTTTTTCCTCAGCTGATGAATAATTAAAACATTGACAGCCAATCAGAATCCATCATGGTGTAAAGAGCTTGAGAATTATTATGCAAAATGACCTGGGATACCTGGAGAAAGAGCGAGATCCATTCTGATTGGCTGTTACTGTGAGCTGTTGTCATTTACCTGCTGCAGGTCCAGAGTCACAGTGACGTAATGGTAGTCCATCCCGTTCATGATGCTCGGGCTCTGCCACCATCTGTTAGTGCCGTCGATAGCGTACTCGATGGGATGCCGCTCTACACACATGAAAAACACAGTCATGTGAGAACACTCCTCCTTCATCTTTGTTTATAGACTTCATCTTGAATTTATAGGACAGTCAAAACCATGCAGAAAGTGGATGTGACAGATGTGACAAAGCCGAATTTCCTGTGAGCTCTACTTTTTTTAACCGTTTGAAAAAAATATTAAATTATTTTTTTTTTAATTTTTTTTTAAGTTTGTATTTAAGGGAGTCTTATATAGTGAGAATATGGAAAAAAACAGCTCGGTTTTATTCAGTTTTTAGGCCCAAACAACAACATGCAATTTGGTGCAGATGCTGATATTCTTGTAATGTAAATCAATGCGATCTTTGTAAGCAATAAGGTACGAGAGGCTGCGCTGTGTGGTGAATAAGTAACGGCTGAAGGGCGTTGTTAGGCACGACGCGAAGCGGACTAACCCCTTCAGCCGTTACTTATTCACCTTGCCTCGAGCACCTTATTGCTTTTATAAAATGGTTGCCACACAATATTAAAGTAAAAAACAATCTATTAGTGCAACTTTCTTGAAGTAAAATCACTAAAAGCCTTCCTTGCGCTAGAAAAAATAGTCCCTGAGCGTGAACAGCAACAACGCTCCAATGTGTAATATGCATGAAAGCTCAAATAAAAACAACATAGGACCGCAGTGTTGCGCAGCGATCAATAGAGCCGTTTGGTGCAGCGGTCATAGCCGTGTGTTATCATGAATAAAGCACAGCTCTTGACCAATCAGAATCAAGGATTCGAACTGACCGTTTTATAAATTACAGTATAGCAGATACTTACATAAAATGCATTTAAATATCAATAACTGCCAATTATATGTCTTAAAAAGTCATCTTCAACTCTGCTGGTTCATTCCAGTTCCAAAGCCTCTCAGTTTCTACTGGTTCAGCCCAGTCCCAAGTCATCTTCATCTCTGCTGGTTCAGTCCAGTTCCAAAGCCTCTCAGTCTCTACTGGTTCAGCCCAGTTTCAAGTCGTCTTCATGTCTGCTGGTTCAGTCCAGTCCCAAAGCCTCTCAGTGTCTACTAGTCCAGTCCCGTCCTGTCCCAATTCGTCTTCATCTCTGCTGGTTCAGTCCAGTTCCAAAGCCTCTCAGTCTCTACTGGTTCAGTCCAGTTCCAAAGCCTCTCAGTCTCTACTGGTTCAGTCCAGTTCCAAAGCCTCTCAGTCTCTACTGGTTCAGCCCAGTTTCAAGTCGTCTTCATGTCTGCTGGTTCAGTCCAGTTTCAAAGCCTCTCAGTCTCTACTAGTCCCGTCCCGTCCCAAGTCATCTTCATCTCTGCTGGTTCAGTCCAGTTCCAAAGCCTCTCAGTCTCTACTGGTTCAGCCCAGTTTCAAGTCGTCTTCATGTCTGCTGGTTCAGCCCAGTTTCAAGTCGTCTTCATGTCTGCTGGTTCAGTCCAGTTTCAAAGCCTCTCAGTCTCTACTGGTTCAGTCCAGTTCCAAAGCCTCTCAGTCTCTACTAGTCCCGTCCCGTCCCAAGTCATCTTCATCTCTGCTGGTTCAGTCCAGTTCCAAAGCCGCTCAGTCTCTACTGGTTCAGCCCAGTCCCAAGTCATCTTTATCTCTGCTGGTTCAGTCCAGTTCCAAAGCCTCTCAGTCTCTACTGGTTCAGCCCAGTCCCAAGTCATCTTCATCTCTGCTGGTTCAGTCCAGTTCCAAAACCCCAGTCTCTACTGGTTCAGCCCAGTCCCAAGTCGTCTTCATCTCTGCTGGTTCAGTCCAGTTCCAAAGCCTCTCAGTCTCTACTGGTTCAGCCCAGTCCCAAGTCATCTTCATCTCTGCTGGTTCAGTCCAGTCCCAAAGCCTCTCAGTTTCTACTGGTTCAGCCCAGTCCCAAGTCATCTTCATCTCTGCTGGTTTAGTCCAGTTCCAAAGCCTCAGTCTCTACTGGTTCAGCCCAGTTTCAAGTCGTCTTCATCTCTGCTGGTTCAGTCCAGTTCCAAAGCCTCTCAGTCTCTACTGGTTCAGCCCAGTCCCAAGTCGTCTTCATCTCTGCTGGTTCAGTCCAGTTCCAAAGCCGCTCAGTCTCTACTGGTTCAGCCCAGTCCCAATTCATCTTCATCTCTGCTGGTTCAGTCCAGTTCCAAAACCTCTCAGTCTCTACTGGTTCAGCCCAGTTCTAAGTCATCTTCATTACCCCTGGTTAAGCCTAGCTCCAAGTTGTCTTTGTCACCACTGCTTAATCCCTGCTGGTTCTTGAAGTCTTCATTGGCCAGCTCTGCCCAGCTCCAATTCTCCTTCATCAGGTTTGGTTTAGCCCAGCCTCTCTCTCCCCCCTCCTCTGCCCAAAGGTGTGGTCGACGATGCGTCACTGCGCAGTGTATGACATCAAAGTATCGCAAGTGTGATTCGACAGCACATGGAACCATCTGCTCTCTAATTGCCCTCAGGGCACTTTGATGTCATTCAGCTCACCAGACTCTGAGCCCCGGACTCCACCTCGGCTCACCGACCCATTGGCTCCACCATAGGTCAACGCTCCCTCGCCTTCACCCTGGTCTGTCATCCCTCAGGCTCAGGTGGGCTCCCTTGTCACTCTCGCTTCTACAGTTCTGCCATCATCTTCATTCATACTGACTCTGACCTGCTCTCATCCTGGCTCTGCTCTGGGTCATCCACTGGCTCCTCCCATCTCAGCCCTGGCTCCTCCCTCCATTATCTCCACCTTGATGTTCCCTTCTTTCAGCCCCTCCTCGATCATGTGTCCAGTTCCTCTTCCTTGGCCTCTAGCCATGGTTTTCTTTCTCACAGTCGTTACCTTAATTCTTGTTAATTGTTTGTGGTCATCATTTCTGAGTAGTTACACACCTGTTCCTTTTTTAGTTGATTTTTCTGCATCACAGATCATTCTTTGTGATTTCTACTACATACATTTGAACATGATTTTTTTTATAAAAAATATGGATCAAATAAACCTAAGCTGCTATACCAGTAAGTGTTCATCTTGAAATATTACTAACAATATCAAATTATCATCATATCATTGCAATTATCGGATAATCTACACCGGAAGAGAGAGACACGGCATGACGACACCAGATCCGTCCTGTTAAAAATGACTGCAAAAATCCACCTTTAGGGGCCTGTGTATATTTATGTATCATATATTTGAATTTGTATTTAATTCATTCTAATAAATGGTGTTTTAGAAGATTTCATTTTTCTGCGTAGCATGTTTTCATAGAACATCAAGCTCTTTTATCTGCAGAGATCAAGAGAGATTTGATTCCTCATGACATGAGTCCTTTAGAAAAGCACCATAACACCTCATATTAAACCACGACAGGACACGACGGCACTTAATAACGTGTCTCTGCTGGCTTTTACCTTCGCCAGCTAGTCAGTTGAATAAAACCGTCTCTTGAAATAAAGCTATCTGCTCTAATGAGGGATGAGTTTTATAAGCGCTGAAATACTTACATTTATCTCTGTGCAGAGCCTGTCTAAAGCAAACTATATTAGACAAACTCCAGTCTTTCTTTACAGCCAGATCCTTAATCAGGCAAAGATGATTAAAGTTGTCCACTTAATCATTTATTTGACTGCATATATTCTTTTCTAAATTATGATCGAGATCTAGGTTTCATTTAAAAGAACTCCCCCGCTGGTTAAGTCACATCTCTCTCTCTCTCTTCCTCTAATTTTCTCTAATTACATGTTATATTAATCACTCTCTGGCTGGGAGTGTGTGGGTGACTCTTGTGTGTTTGAAGAGAGCTCAGATTAGAGCGTCTGACTCATTACTGGCTGAGGTGAGCTGTGGATGACAGCGCTGGAGCCGTTCCTCTAGTGACGGCTCAACTCAACACATACTTTATTAAGACCTTTCAAACTGCATGTACACATCAGAAACCACGACGACACCGACACCGAAAAGAACTGCTTTCGTGAAGGTGACTGGAATCTGACAAAGAACATGTCTGGCTCATGAAAAAACACATAGCTACATAAAACATTTTTTTTTACATATCTACGGACCAATAAAGAAGTAGATGATCTAACAGTAAAAATTCTGTAATTTACTCACATTTCAGTTGAGTTTGTTTGTAATTCTCACTCATCTCAATGATGATTTTCATTATTGTAATAGTCATGAATCCTCTAAACACGACAACTTTTTGATTTAAATTTACATAAATTAAATTCAGGACAACAAATACTATCATGATGTATAAATAAAAGTAAAATAATATGTCACAATTATTTTTTTTCAGATAATTACGAACATTTGATATTTCTTTCTTTTGATTTTGGGTGAAATATGACTGTTTTCTTCACATTGAACACTCCTCTAGATTACAATTACAGCAGATACGCATAAAATCAGTTTTCTCCCACTCAAATGCATGAATGTTTCTTTAAAATATGAAGGAAATTAATTTGATTAGGTTAAATTCTTATCAGCACTCATATTTGGAGGGCTTCTCAAACAGCAAAAACTGTGATGTCAAACTGCACAGAACTAACATTAGCAATGGGATGTGGTGTCATGCTCTTAGGCTTCATAATAACATTAACAATAACGAGAAATGAAAAACATTAAAGTACATCATCTGCTCTACTTCCTAGCACACCATGCAGCTTTGTAGTTTGTGTTCTTTGTATTGAGCCATGCGGTCAATCGGTGGCATTTTCATCATCTATTAATCAAACATCTTTTGGCTGTATACCCTAGTGAAAAAAACATACTTTGTTGTATTTTAAATATATTCCATTTTTATACGTATATAAATATATATAAAAATACATTAGTATCATGATCATTGTAACAATGTATACTTCCTAAATACATTATACTATACAATAGTATTTTGCACAAAGTATAGCAAAGTTTTATTTATCTAATATTTATCAAAGTATAGCTAAGTTTATTAATTTCTCTAATCTTGTCTAGCTACTGTCTTATCCAAATAAAACGGCAAATATATATACATACACTTATGGTAGGGTATATTGCTTGTGTGTTTCGAAGACACTCATAATGAATTTGTAATGTACTTGTAACACAAATAAAGTACACTTTACTAATCAAGCATGTTCGCGCTATGTCCACTACGCCTGTGACAACGGCCACTCCGGAAGAGCGCTGACCGTCATGGCCAAGGCTATTTTGTGGGTGTGGGCAGCAGACACATTGGCTCCAGCCCGTGAGCCTTCGCCCAAGATGACTGCCGCTGTTCCAGAGTCTCGTTCAAGATGGCCGCCATTCCAGAGTGTCCTGGCAAGATGGCCGCCACACCAAAGCCCCCGGCTAAGAGAGCCGCAACGCCAAAGCCTCTCCATGTCATGGACTCTATGCCTGATTCAGGATCCACTCCAGGCCACGACCCCATAGCTTCAACCAAAATAATTTTGGGGGGGGGCAGTAGGTACCTTGCTGGGCCATGGAGGCCATGCAACTTTGGCCCCCTGAACTGCCGGCTCCACCTTGGTCCCCCTGAACTACCGGCTCCACCCTGGTTTCCTGAACTGACGGCTCCTCCCTGGTTTCCTTAACTGCCGGCTCCACCTTGGCCCCCTGAACTACCGGCTCCACCCTGGTTTCCTGTACTGCCGGCACCATCTTGGCCCCCCCTAAACTGCCAGCTCTACCTTGGCCCCCTGAACTACCGGCTCTACCTTGGCCCCCCCTGAACTACCGGATCCACCCTTGTTTCCTGGACTGCCGGCTCCACCTTGGCCCCCTGAACTACCGGCTCTACCTTGGCCCCCCTGAACTGCCAGCTCCTCCCTGGTTTCCTGAACTGCCGGCTCCACCCTGGCCCCCCCTGAACTGCCGGCTCCACCTTGGCCCCCCCTGAACTGCCGGCTCCACCCTGGCCCCCCTGAACTGCCGGCTCCACCTTGGCCCCCCCTGAACTGCCCGGCTCTACCTTGGCCCCCTGAACTGCCGGCTCCACCTTGGCCCCCTGAACTACCGGCTCCACCCTGGTTTCCTGAACTGCCGGCACCATCTTGGCCCCCCCTAAACTGCCAGCTCTACCTTGGCCCCCTGAACTACCGGCTCTACCTTGGCCCCCCTGAACTACCGGATCCACCCTTGTTTCCTGGACTGCCGGCTCCACCTTGGCCCCCCTGAACTACCGGCTCCACCCAGGTTTCCTGAACTGCCGGCTCCTCCCTGGTTTCCTGAACTGCCGGCTGCACCTTGGCCCCTCCTGAACTGCCGGCTCCACCTTGGCCCCCCCTGAACTACCGGCTCCACCCAGGTTTCCTGAACTGCCGGCTCCTCCCTGGTTTCCTGAACTGCCGGCTGCACCTTGGCCCCTCCTGAACTGCCAGCTCCACCCTGGCCCCCCCTGAACTGCCGGCTCCACCTTGGCCCCCCTGAACTGCCGGCTCTACCTTGGCCCCCTGAACTGCCGGCTCCACCCTGGTTTCCTGCAATGCCGGCTCCGCCCTGGTTTCCTGAACTGCTGGCTCCACCTTGGCCCCCCCTGAACTGCCGGCTCCGTGCTGGCGTCCTGAACTGCCGGCTCTACCTTGGCCCCTGAACTGCCGGCTCCACCCTGGTTTCCTGCACTCCCGGCTGCACCCATGTCCCCTGGACTGTCGGGTCCACCCTGGAGGCTTCATAGCCTGCCCACACTCCATGACCCAGACTCGCCATCCCACGACCCTTCATTTATTTTGTTCAATAAATTACACACACCCATAGTGAAAACATGAGTTTTGAAGCAGTTAGAATATTTTTTTTATGTGCAGCTAGAAAATATAGCTTGGAGTGTGTGTGTGTGTGTGTGTGTGTGTGCGTGGTGTACGAACATCAAAGTATCATCAAGTTAGGTTTTACCACAGGCTTTATTTTTGACATAAATCGAAAAACCCCCATTATAAAACCCCATAGGAAAATCTCCAATGGCAAATTAGTCTTCCGGGTTCTGAAGTCATACCTGCAACAATTAGGGCTTGATCCTCAGAGCCCATGATGACCGACCACTAATAGCTGTTATCAAATATTATTCCCAAGACTCTTCCTTTTCGTCTCATGTGCAAGCCTTTCTAAGCCTCCCCACCACTTCATTGATGCCTAAATACACCCCTATGTGCATTAAAGAGAGAAGTATTTACTGGTGTATATATGTAGGTTTAAATTTGAATATCATTTGCAGTTCTTGAAAATGCCTTTGGTGAGGGGAATGTGATGTTGAGCTTATGTTGTCAGAGATCTGCTGAAAATGAAAGATGTCCAGTACATATTATTTCTGCTGTTTAGCTTTGGCTAACTATAGTTGCAAGTTCAGTTAAACTCTGTTGATAATGACGGAAAACGCACCCCTCACCGATTCAGTCTGGTCTGTGAATGAACTTTTCAGACTCATTCCAGTACAACTCCAAAGAATATTTCTGTCTATGATTCAGATATTGCTATTAAAAACACACTTCCTATTCTTTCAAAGAGGCCTGTGAAGTGAAGAATACAGTGTACATGTGTTATACGAGCGACTGTGCCGGTGTTTTCGATTTTGGAATGCAGTGATTTATGAGCTGAAACAGCCTTTGATTAGAGCATATCAAATGAATTATGCACAGCATGAGAGCAGTGTGTGTGTGTGTGTTCTGTACCGTAATCATAATCACTCTTCAGGTTGCAGGTCCTACACTGAGGGTTGTTCACGGGCCGTCCAGGTACGTGCTCCACTAGTTTGCAGTACATTTCTGGTCCCGTCTCTCCACACGTGGCGTTGGTCTTGATCTCTGCCATAGTGGCCAGGTTCAGCACAGCTGGGAAAAGACCTGTAGACACAGCACACACACCATTAGCTGTTCCTAAGACAGATGCCCGCTTCTACAGACGGCTCAACAGCAAAAACACTTGCAGACCAAAAATTAAAAAAAACTGTGTTGAGGACCATATAGCCAGAGCTTACTTTTAACCATCTGTTTATGAGATAAGAAGATTAATAAGATTGCAAGCAGTATTGACCAGCCCCCCCCCCCCATTTTTTGTCTATTTATCACACATCAACACATCTGTTGATTTATCTCTATTTATCTTTATTCCCTAGACGTTGAGTGTATAGTACATTGGTTTGTAGCTACACTTGTTATTAAGGTGCATTGTGGGATTGAACGACTCGATAACATCCACTATGGTTTCAGACACCACTACAAATGGCTGTTCCCTCAAAAAGGTATAGGGTGCGATTTTGGACACGGACCATTTTTTATGCCCTTCCCTTGCGAATTTCCCTCTGTCTCGTCCACTTGGATGTACATCATTGCTTACGTTGCACAAGCGCCAACAACTGACGAGTAGGGTTGGGTATCGTTTGAATTTGAACGATTCTGATTCCGATTCCTTGTTTCGATTCCGGTTCCTAACGATTCTCGATTCTGATTCTTTTAAGAGGCAGGGTCAAAAAAGTTTAGCTAACCTTGCTAACCAACGGCCTTTCTGAAGGAAATACTCCTTCTGTAAAAATACTCCTTTTGTCACAAATTTTGCATTTTGCCGAGATTTCGTTATTTTTAGAAAAGTGAAGCCACACTTTGGACCGCCGACGTAAGCTACTCATGTTCGACTCGCCCGGTTATGCAAACACTTCCGGTAGACGCTTCTTCGTTGGTGTTGTTCAGCGGTTTCTTCTTCAACTCGGCGGACTGTGAATATCGAAACTAGGAATCGAAATTTTAACTTTTGAACGATTCCGGGAAAAACGAAAAGTTAGTCTCGGTTCCAATCGATACTCGATTCTCGATACCCAACCCTACTGACGAGACACCCTAACACCCTAAGCCCTTGATCACTGGAAACTGATATGGAGATTTATTTATATCTATTGCCTCTATATATTTTTTTCTCTCATGAATTGGTTTTACGTACTGTTCTATAGGCCTGTATGTATGTTTGGGCTGTTGGAGAAATTATAAAAAAATACACAAACTAAAATTCTAACAATACAATAAACTTTAACAGTCAGCTTAAGGTAGCTACAAGTATGCTGTTAAATGTCAACATATTTCCAATTTTATACACTAGAGTTCATACACTAGAATCAGAACTTCATTGGTGGGAAGTAGGAAAATTATTAAAAAAGGTAATTTTTGGAAAGCCGAATATTATTGGTTGTTCCTGCTTCACCCTAATTATGGAATTTTCCAACTTAGATAGTATGGTTAAAAGACGTCATTTTAAGTGTTAAAATGTACATTTAGGGGCTAATATGTTCATTTCATGAGCTAATATGTCCATTTTAGATGGTAATATGCCAATTTTAGGTGTTAATATGTGCATTTTAGGTGATAATATGTACATTTTAGGTGATGATATGTACATTTTAGGTGCTAATATGTTCATTTCATGAGCTAATATGTCCATTTTAGATGGTAATATGCCAATTTTAGGTGTTAATATGTACATTTTCGGTGATAATATGTACATTTTAGGTGATGATATGTACATTTTAGGTGCAAATATGTCCATTTCATGAGCTAAATGTGTACATTTCAGGTGCTAATATGTAAATTTTAGGTGCTAATATGTACCACTAAGGTACCAATATGTAGCCTTTGGATACAAAAGTGTACCTTTTGAAAAGGTACAGGCCCAGTGACAGCTTTTGTACCTTTTTTTCTGAGAAAGAACTAAAGGAAACAGGGCTTAAATACACAGAACAAACCAAACAACTGAACAACAGGTGCCAACAATAATCTAACAATGAGTAACCAAAGAAAATCACTAAAACACAGGGAACTGATTGAAAACAAATCGCTTTTGACGATATTTTGGCGATATTTCTGCTTTTAAACATGTCGTTTTAATTAATCAACATTAATCATAGCAATTTCAATATAGGAATAATAGGAATATTGACAATTATATATGTAATTTACATGCAATTTACAACAAGTAGCCAGTATTTAGTGTACACTGTGCAGTATGTGTTGCACTATATTTCAACAACCTGAAATACAAGGATCAGGGTTGGAGACATGAATGGAGTGATGGTGTAAATCTTGACATCAGCATGTGTGTATTAAACTGGGTTTTCTGTAGTGTGAACGAAGTCTATGTATGCGCCAAAAAAGGAGAGTGTGCATAGTCGGTGTGAATCAAAGAGCATTTGATCTCATGAAATCAGTCTCAGCTGCTCCGACAGATGTTCATGCGAGCTGGACAAAAGCACTCACGTTAACTCTCCCCGTGCTCTTTATAGTACATTCTCTGGATGCTGGTGCTAGTTCTGCTGGGATAAAGTCTTTTCACACCGCGCTTCATCCAACACATCAGAGCTTAGCAGCTGCCTCTGGAATGTCCACAGTCAAATGTGGATATTATACTCAATATGGGACACATTTGTAAAGCATAACAAGGACATTTTCCCAGGAAGCATTAACAACTTCCAGCTTGGATGTTTTTGAAACTGGAGCTTAACAAACCAATCCATCAACTATTTTAGTGTTTGTACTGATGTTCCTCACACGTTCTGCTCAGGGTTTGCTCTAAACCTCTAAGTGCCAATATTACAGGACATTTATATTCTTTTGAAAATCTACCATTAACTTTATGTGATAGTATATTCAACATGCAATGGAAGACGATTTCGATATATCACCAGACAACGTTGAATTTGGCCCGGCCCTCAGATCACTTGGACGTGGCTGTGATTACAAGAGGTAAAAACGATATAAATACTGTTGGTTTTCTCACACAATCCGCTCGTTTCGTGTCTTAGGCCATCAATGTGTACTTACATTTACGAGTCATTAAAGGCCATTGCACACCGAGTACGAAATATTCGTATGCGTATTTTCGTGTTCGTCAGCCTAAAAATTCGTCACGCATAAAAACCTTGCACACCGAGTCCGTTGCGTATTTCTTAAACCTTTGCGGGAAAAAACGCAAAAATACCAAATGGATTCGTCAAGCAGTGAGGATGATTTTTGCCCTCTCTCTTATTGAAAAGAGAAGAAAGAGAAAATATTACGTCCATCCAATCCTGAAATTGCGCCGAGAGGAAGGAGTTCCACCTTATCAAGGAGTTGCGAATTTATCCAGAGCGATTCAAAATTTACCTCAGAATGTCAGTGGGACAGTTTGATGCTTTGCTAGCGATCCTGGAGCCACATATTAAAAACAAGACCACCAATTTCCGTGAACCAATCGATTCTGAACGGAGACTGGCAGTGTGTCTGAAATGGACCAGGTATGGACACACACACACACGGACAAACACACACCCGCGCGCGGCCCGTTGGAAGCGCTGGGCAGACAGAACAGCTAGGCTGTTATTGTGTATATTGTGCCCAAATAATACATTAGTTATCGAATAGGCTGCTCAATCACACCTTATTCGATCCTAAATTTCAATCTGATTGAAAGGGGAGGTTTATTAATTTCATAATCCAATATAGAGAAGAGAACATAAACACTTGATCGAATTGAAAACCGAAACTGAAAGCACGGCGCATATGTGCAATGATTTGAGGACGAGCTCCCCCGGCCCTGAATTGTCAAAAGACCTCTCAAAATGCTGGCTCTGGATGCGAAAAACGCAGAAAATCGAACCCGATCCGATTAATTTTATGACGGACGAAAGTTTCGGAGGCGGTGTGCAAGCGTGACTGACATAACGTGAGGTCGAATTTTTTTTTTAACGTGCGAAAATTTCGGATGCGAATTTCGGACTCGGTGTGCAATGGCCTTAAGTCATGTTTAATTTGGACTTTTCTGTGCATGCTCTTTAAGGGTGGTGACCATAGACCTCCATTATATGACTGACAGACAAGAACGGTTTGACCAAAAAATATCAAAATTGAAAATACTGTGGAAACAAAGACACCTACATCTTGGATGCCATTGAGGTAAGATAAAACATAACAAAAATTTATTTCAAAGTGAACTATCCCTTTAAGTGAATAATTGAATTGAATGATAAAAAAACAGTTCCCTGTTTTATTCCTTTTATTATCAAATTAGCATAATTGAATGAAAAAACTGAGTGAATGATTCAAATGACTCACTCAGTTGACAGTCACTTACTGTTACATTGTCACGGGAGTAACAACGTATCAATTTTAGTATTCATCACAAAAAAATATAACAGCTGTTTAGTTTTTTGTGTGCATTTTTCCGTTGTTTAATCCTGTCTAAAAGGAAATTAACACAAAAGTAGACAGAATTCAATGTCCTGTGAGATGAATTGAAATTCACTCCCATGAACAGAGCAAACTGTTTCTTGAATTCAGAATGTTGCCCAATGCTGAAAGCTGTATCTATCTATCTATCTATCTATCTATCTATCTATCTATCTATCTATCTATCTATCTATCTATCTATCTATCTATCTATCTGTCTGTCTGTCTGTCTGTCTGTCTGTCTGTCTGTCTGTCTGTCTGTCTGTCTGTCTGTCTGTCTGTCTGTCTGTCTGTCAGTCTGTCTATCTATCTATCTATCTATCTATCTATCTATCTGTCTGTCTGTCTGTCTGTCTGTCTGTCTGTCTGTCTGTCTGTCTATCCATCCATCCATCCATCCATCCATCCATCCATCCATGACATTAGATAAATAACGGCACACATTCTCACAGTCAGATTGTCTCAGATGTGTTGACCTTTACCCGTTCAAAGTGAAAATGCAGGGTGTGGGAACACTGGAAACGCTCTTCACATGACACTTGAGCTCCTGGTTGCTGAAAGTACATAATTGTCAATCCAGATGAAATGATAGTAAAAGACTTGTCATGTTTTCGGAGAGCGTTCAGATGCGTGTATGGTGCTAGGAAAGAAGCTGA